TGTCTCACTAAAGTGACAAATAAAACCGCACGCTGGAGTCCCATTGTTAACCGTGCTGGATAAACAACCCTAACTGTGATGGCTGAAGTTGTGCTGCTTGTGTTTGGGAAGAGGCCTGTGCAGAACCGCAGGAGTGGGAAGCTAAAATGACTTATTGTAAGGGCTGAAGGAAAATGATCATCAACTTGCACATAGATGTAAAAGCTGAAGTGTGCAGTTTCTGCAGAATTGCAAAAATAATAGCTATTTTGCTGAATACTCCCCACATCTTCCTTTGGTGGGATAAACAGATAGCTCAGTGTAGCTTGTATTGAATTTGTTCCACAGCATATCAGCTGAAAAAAAAAACAATTTCTATTAAGTTGTTCTTGTAGTCTGCATGCAAAAACAACAGCGACCAGTGTAGTCTGATTCAATGGTTCCAATGGTTCCAATGGTTCTGATGAGCAGTCTAATCAATCCTTTTGTGTGTGTGTGGGACTATTCCAAGCAGGTTAATAGCACAGCTACTTTTAGTTAGTTAATCCCCAACCCCCAACACTGATTTCTTATGCAGACACATGAGAAATGAGACATGCTGCAAGACAAGCTATTCATCATAAGGAGATCATTCTACATACATATGAGCGAGGATGCGGATTAATGCTCTTTATCTTTATGCAGAAGCTGTTGCCATTTAGGGAAAAAAATGTAGTCATGTTGGTCTTACCGTATGGTTAAATATATAGTATAGTAAAGTCAGTGAAGGAACCCTGGTTCTCTAAATACATCAAATAAATAAATGTTAAAATAGGGTTTATGGCATTTGTAGATATCAGTGTTTAGTATTTTCCTGTTAGTAATCAATTTATTTTATTTTATTTGTACGGTTTTGATTGTTTCCATTTTGAATACATATTATTATTTGTGATTTAAGTTCACTTTCACAACAATAGCAGAAAGCTATCCACCTTATTTTTCTCGTAAGTGTTTGTAAAGAGTCAGATCAGAATAGCTTTTTTTATATAGAATTGGCCTTTCACTAAGTCTGATCATTTCCTCAGACGAGGTTTTGTTCTTTGATGTTGTACACTACCGTTTAAAAGTTTGGGGTCAGTAAGATTTCTTATTTGTAAAGAAATTAATACTTGTATTCAGCAAGGAGTCAAGGCCCTATTAAATTGATCAAAAATGGCATTAAAGATGTTTACATTATAAAATAATAAAATATGTGCTGTTCTTTTGAACTTCTGTTAAGCAGCACAACTGTTTTCAACATTGATAATAATAAGAAATTTTTCTTTAGCACCAAATCAGCATATAAGAATGATTTCTAAAGGATCATGTGACACTGAAGACCGGAGTAATGACTGCTGAAAATTCAGATTTGCCATCGCAGAAATAAATTATATTTCAAGATATATTCAAATAGAAACATCTTTTAAATTGCAGTGATATTTCACAATGTTACAGTTTTTACTGTATTAAAATCTTACCGTCCTCAAACATTTGAACAAAAGTTTATGGAATATCTCTCTGTTTTGATAGTTTTAACTGCAATCTTACTTAAATTATCCAAAATATTTAAGTGTTAATTTAAGTGTTTATTCTATTATTATAAATCAATGTTAACATCATCATTGTAGTATCAAAAGCAACAGTTTGCAGTACAATAGTAAATGCATTAAGAACAGTTTCGTTCACTTACAGCAATTTTATGACTTGTAATAATGTTACTATGCATCCTTATTTTTTGCCTTAAGTGCAGGCGCAGCCATTTGTAAATTGTATGGGACTGGCTTCCGGTGTCATTCACTTCCAGCTATTTTTAGCTGTACAAAACAGCTAATTTTGCTGCTTGATATACAAACTGGTGTCTTACTACATTATTTCAATGTATTATCTTAATTATGAACACACTGTTTTGTAGTGCAAACAGTTTTACCATTTACTGCACTTTGTTATTCCTCTCGTTATTTCCCTACCGCAGCTAATGAATCGGAAGTATCGCACATTCACAGAAAGCCGCTT